CTATCCAATTGAGTGCAGAGGCATTTTTTTTTCCTGGTTCCTTCGAAACACGCCCCATAATCACAGCTCTATGGAGCAGCATCAGACTCATATTCTGACTAGAATTGAGTAGGACTACGTCAGGCCAAGATTCTTGACCCATAGAGTTAGAATTTTTAGAAATACATCAGAAACTAATGCCATTAGTATGCTTTGCAACTGTAAGGTTGGACAGGTCTTGAGAAAACCTTTTGTTTTTGCAGTCCATCCAGGCTTCTTGTGTGTAGAAGGAAAACATTCAGATTTTCTTCAGATTTTTAATATATATTCACAATAGCATACATACAGCTTGATTCATGAGCCTACATTCAATGCAAAAAATAAAATCTATGTGGCTCAGTTTTTCTCGATTGAGCAGAGAACTTACCAATGGAATAAGAGGATTAATGTTTGAAAGTAAAAAATAAAAACAATACTAATATCACATTTAAAGTGCATAATATCTAATGATCTTATTTTAAGGGCAAAAATACTCATTCCATTGACAGATCATCACATTTACATTTCAAATGAATAGCAAATGTGATTTTTATTATACATTTACTTCTTTTAAGATCAGTATTTTTTTTTTTTTTACATCTTTGTATGTGAAGATTACTAAGTAGAGAACAGTCGTTCATTTTTGTCCTTCCAGCTACTGAATCCCCGGTTTTAAAGGGGTCAGTCAAGGGTGTTCCTAATAGAGGGCTTCAGAGACAAACTCTGGGTGTATGACATAGTGAGCAGCTTGGTAGGGCCTCACTACATGGAAACAGCTGTAGCAGTCACTGTTGGAAAAGCACAGGAACAAAGTCATTCCTTAGTAACAATTTAAAACGACATCAAAAACTCAACATTACATGCAAATGCAAATGTGCACCTAAAATCCTTGGTTCTGGTAGAGCAGCACTTCCTGTAAGGAGTCTGAGCAAAGCAGTGAGTAGCTGCAGCTGCAGAGGGGTTGTTTGTTAGAGCTCCTTGTGGCCTGTTGTGAGACAGATTCAAAATTTTGATTGTTCTTATTTTTGAGGTCATTTATTAAATAACACCAGTAAATTGCTTAGAAAATTATTTCATTTCATCTTTAGAATTAATCACAACGCAGCCAGAATCTTCAATGTTTTTGCTTCTATTTTTTTGCATTATAATTTTATTGACTGTACAACATAAAATTGCACCTAATTGCAAAGAGGAAAAAGACACACAACAGCAAACCAAACATGACTTGTTGGCTCACCTAAACTTGCCATACAAAGCATTATTCATGCAAACAGTCAAAGGGTACAATAACATAAAGATACAGCCAAAGCTACAATGTTTCAATTTAGATTTTTTTGTGTAAGAAAAATATTGATTTTACTTTAACATGATATTCTACTTTATAATTGTCTAAATTATAAAACCCAAAAACAATGGACTGAAATTCTTCAAGCAATGTGACAGATCGCAAAAAAGTTCAAAGGGTATGATTATTTTTGTAAGGCACTGTTTGTTCAATGCTACCACTGTATTTCAAGTTTGAAGTCTTTTGGGACCACCAAGAAAGTTTAAAGGTTGTTTGCTCACCTTAGTTGTCGTGCTGAGAGGGTACTGACATTCCTCTGATAACCCGCTGTCCTGCAAAGCAGATTCATCAATGTCAGAATGTGTTTATAGTTACCTGTAAGCTAAACAGGGACATGATTAATCATTACTTATAAGGGATCCTTGGAGTAGTGGAAAGCTGACCGTCTTTGGCAGCAGGAGTCTCCATCAGCTGTAGTTTCTGTGCCCTGTCATTGATAGGAGGCATATGCTGGGGGCTGTTTGTTTTGCCTGCAGGGTTATCAAGGCATGCTGAGACAGGATTGTGAGATAAGAAATGGTTCACAGGGGGGAAAAGGGGCCGGCCATTGTCCACAGGGGGCAAAGGGTGGAGCAGTGTTCGTGTTGGCCTGTAGCTGGACCGAAGACTGCGGGGAAACAGGAAGTCCTGGGGAGGTAAGAAAAGAAAATTGTAAACAACCTAAAATTAGGAAAATCTCCTGAAGAAAACCTGTTTCTGTACACACTAAAAAAAATTATGATTACAGTTGGAAATTATTAATTTTCTCACATCAATACGTCATTTTATTTTATTGAATTTAGGAGAGTAATAATCAAAGAAGCGTCCAAGAGAAGCCTCAAAGTATCAGAGAATAGGTAATAAAAATCAACTGAAAAATTATACTTAGTTGTGCATACCAAAAACAAGGCCCCTGTGGAAGTCATGAAGAAAGCCACTGTTGAAAATCCAAGTCTAAGGAGTCTATTGAAACATTTTGCGCCCTCATAAAATAATCTTTTTTGTTGCATAGACCAAGCCCTGCACACCAAACCGCATTTAATGTCATCACATTAAATCCTGGTAATGGCAGCATAATGCTGTGGGGATCCTTTTATTTGGATTTGGGGGCTTGTTGACATTGACAGTAGTGCAAAACACAAGCAACTTGTAGAAGTTGCCCATGTTGCCTAAATCCTTTTGCAACTTCTCAAAGGATGCAAATGCTTTGATACTGTTTCACCTTCCTGCAGGACATTCACGCTAGTGACAAGATGCGTGTCTGTTAACCATTAAATTGCACAAATTGTGGTTATGAAAATACATTTGCTGAATAGAAACATTGGAATTTCAAAAACTCGCGCAGTGGAAATACTTTTCTTCCACATCAAACAACTACACGAATAGTTGGAGGATGATGCCACCCATTAGAATTATGAACATATCTCACTGCTGCCATGTTGTTTTCATTGCATTAACAAACATATACACTCCTTTAATTGTACTGGTTATTAAATGGAAACTTTCCATTTTTTAACTTAGTGGAATACTGTCATTGTTTTGAGCAGATTTATAATGGAAACGCATCTATAGAGCCAGATCATATTTCTGTGAAGGACACGGCCAGAGTGTAGAACACTAACATTTTTGGCTTTGATAAAACAAAATATACATTTCAACAAATAACAATTTGCACATTTCTTTTCCTTTTATAGATGACAAACAAAAGAAACATGAGTTGTTGTTTTTTTTCATTTATTATAAATACTTGTACTCTTTGTATTCCTATTTATCTGGGACTGGGTTGTGGAGGCTGCAGTTTCAGCAGAGACTCCCAGACTTCCCCCCTCAGAGACACCTCCTGCAGCTCTGCTAGTGGGAACCTGAGGCGCTCCCGGGCCAGCCAGGCGACATACAGTAGTCCCTCCATCTTGCCCTGGGCCTCCTCCTGGTGGGACGTGCCTGGAACACCTCCCAAAGGAGGCATCCAGGGGGCATCTGAAGAAAATGTCCAAGCAACCTCAGCTAACTCCTCTTTATGTAGAGAAAGCAGCTCTACTACTAGTTTCTGCCGGATGACTGAGCTATTCCAAATATTTATTGCTGACTTGCCATAAAACACAAATATTCGTTTTTTTGAAAAGCTGTTGCATATTTCTTATGTTTTTACTTGTAGCTTTTAAAATGTGGGACAGTGGTGGAGGAGCAATTTTCTTTTTTTTCTTTTTTTTTCCAACATCTGCCCCCCATATTAGTTTTGTTTTCTATAGCTTTTTTGATAAATCAAAATCTAGTGAGACTGTTTGAGCTTAATTATGGAATACTTCATGAAAATTAAAACTCTTCATGTCATTTGAAACACCACCCTGATAAATCTGATCCATCTATCCTTTACCATAAGTAAAGAGAGCTCTTCCAGCTTAAACAAAGCATTATGCATCTCACCGGCCGTGGCTGAGGGTTGTTCCTGCGGTGGGCTGAGGTGGGTCGAAGCTCAGCTTTTTTTGCTCCGCCAGGAGATCTGAAATGCTCCTTATACATTGTGATGTAGACCTGGGGACCCATCTTCAGTGGCTACCGCACTGTTAATCCACACCTTGCCTCCTGTTATCCTGGAAGTCACACAGCATCCTGTAAGCTCCACCCCCTTCCCATACCTGTGTTCCTCCTGCCTCTTCCTGATATTTATTCCTTGAAGCATGCATTAAAGTTATAGAGGTATGCATTTCAACTGTTTTCACTACTGTAGGATGCTTTCTTTAAATTTGAGATACCATAACATAAATTTATGTGATCCTTATTAAATCATCCACTAATTCGGTACAGATTTAACACAAAATTTTGGTTTAGCCTGTTGCTATTGTGAAGAATCTTGTCTCTTTGGGACAGGTTAAGAGCACCCCTGCCGAAGCAGAACAACTCTCTGAGTCACCTGAGCACTCACTAATCTCCCTGAGCTTTAAGCCCCCTGCAGAGACTCACATACCTGGGGTCAATGCCCTTGACCTATTTCCATAGCTCTTGGAGCCCTGATAAACAATACAGCCCTCATTTTACTCACTGAAAGCCAACCCTTAGCTCTTCAGTTGCCTTTGAGTTTAAAAAGTCTAAACAAACTGCAGAGCCAAAGAAAATGCTGAATGCATGGTCTCTACCACAATCAACGACTGTCAGCATGTCACAAAAGCATTAATAATTCGTGCAGCACTGCGGGAGCCATTGTGTCTGTGGCAATCTCACTGAGTTAACTGTGACAGGAACTGGCTGTGCGTCCAATGCAGTGGTTGAACGTTTAGAACCTACATGACGCTCCGTCACATACATGGCATTAGATGTAGAAAGCAAGGCACGAGGGGAAATCATTGTGATGTGACAGAAGAAAAGTCTTTTATTGTTTTGAAATCAGATTCCAGTCATTTAAAGTTTTAAAAGTTTGGATAAAAACTTTTATTTCTTGTTTTTTTTTACCTTTTTTAGGAATTTCTAAAACGTCATTTCTCAGAAACATACAAAAATCTCTGGACACCTGACACAGAGGCGCACTTTTTTTTTTTACTGTGAGAACATCCATGCTGTGATGCAGGCTCCAGTCATGAGCTTCTTCCTCGGATCCTTGAAGCTTTCACTGATATTTGGTTTTCACTGCAGCTTTAAGTTTAGAGTACAGATGCCCAAAGTTCTGCAAAGAAAATAGGCAGATAGATCTGGGCTTTAAAACAAGGAAAACAACACTTTTTTTTCACAAGGTACTGAATATTTTAAACAGGACATAAAATGGACAGTTATCAATAAAGATAATCTGAGAACTGCAGTATATAGTTGTTAAACATCCTGCTTTGCTCTGACAACCCCACAAAAAACAGTGACCCCATCCAGAGGTCACCTATTTATTAAAGCAGAGTCCACCTTTTTATAACTGATGGAAATATTTCTGGAAAGAAACCACATTCCAAGCTAAATCTCTCACTGTTCGTTCCTTGATTTAAGATAAGGAGGTGGCAGCATCATGCTGTGGGGATGCTTTTCTACAGCAGGAATAGAGGACTTAATAAAAACAGTTATAAACATTATTATCACTGTGAATACTTCTATGTGCCGATGTAAAATGTGCCATGGTTGTATGGTTGGAGATGAATCTCGCCTTTTGTTAATGTTTAAAAATGACAATTTATCCATCCGTTCATCCATTTTCCATCATGCTTATCCCTACTGGGGTCGCAAGGAGTGCTGGTGCCCATCTCCAGCTCTCAGTGGGGGAGAGGCGGGGTAAACCATGGACAGGTCACCAGGCTATTGCAGGGAAATAAAGAGACAAACACTCACACACACACCTAAGGAGAATTTAGAGAAGCCAATTAACAGCCATGTTTTTGGACTGTGGGGGAAAGCCGGAGCACCTGGAGAGAACCCACACATGCACAGGGAGAACATGCGAACTCCATGCAGAAAGACCCCAGGCCGGGAGTCAAACTCAGAACCTTCTTGCAGCTTGGCAGCAATGCTAACCACTGCGGCACTCTGCAGCCCCAATTGCAATTTATTTTCCACATTAAAAAATTAATTCCCGCCTGAAACCCTGATCTGTAAAACAATAAGTAATAGTAGGTGTGATTATAAAATAAAATTTAATATAGCGGTGTATCTCTTCCCAGTATTTAACTAAACACACTTTTTGACTGATTTCATAAAGTTTGTTATTGACCAATGCAAAGCAGAGCAGGACTGTAAAGCCATGGAGAAAGATTTAGAAATTGGATCACAAAAGTATGCTTTTAAATTCAGCCCTTCAGTTTTTTGAAGCACCTTTCTCTCAGGCAACAGCTGCGAGTCTTTGTGGTATGTCTCTCAGGGCTTTGGAAATCTCTGGGCTGAACTTTTTTTATTGGCTCCTCTCAGCTGTTGAGGTTCAAGCTCAGTCGGATTCGAAGTGAAACGTCTTTGAACATCAGTTTTGAGGTCTTTTCCCTGACTCAACAGAATCCAGATCATGGCTTTAAATAGTCCATTAGATATGGCTATTATGAGAGATGGTTTATCTGGAACCAAATGCAGTCCAGTAATATAGATAAACATGATTATATGCAGAATCTAGTTATCAAAAACACAGAAAGACTTACAGAAAAAACAAAATGATAACTTTACTTTGACTTAAGGTGAAAGTGATAGAAGAAACCAGCAGTAGAATACAATGAGCATGAAAATGAGTATTAGGAGAATACACTAATATAGGAAATCTAAACAAGATACGGTAAGTAACAGTGCATTTAACCTTTCTTGGATGAGATAAAACACAAACATTTTCCTCTTGTGCTCAGAGGTGGTCATCCAAATCTCAACATGTAGATATGTTAAGGAAAACAGAAAAGTAATATAAATTTTAACAGATTGTTTTCGTGTAAAGCAATGTCATGTCAACTGGCATTTAAAAAACAGGATTCAGAATTGAAGATTTTTTAAAAAATCCTCTGCACTTCATTGATGTATAAAGGATAAGCAGAATGTGCAGAAAGCACCATGTTAAGCAAGGAGAGCTTGTACAGGTACACCTGTTGATGAACTTGAAAGAACATCTTATTTACGGGTGACACGTAAAGTAAAAATGCACAATTTTAGAAATATTTTGTGTTTAGGGAGATCATGATCAAAACCCTGTTATAAAGATATGTTAAAGAAATGGAGACGCAATCCTTTTTTTAAATTATTATTAATTTAAACCATTACATTGTGGATCTGGCTTTATATTTGGCTTTATATAAAGTGAACCTCCAGCCCGGGCTCAAATCTTTTTGAGACTCAAAAAGATTTCCTTCCAGGATTGGCCAGCATTTAGCTCCAAACATCCCATCAACTATGACCTACTTCCCTGTCCCTGCTGAAGACCAGAATGTCCCAAGCATGATGTTGCCTCATGGAGGCTGTCACTTCTAGCATCAGTTTTCTCCTCAACACAGTGTTTCGCATGAAGTGCAGTTTTGATCTGCAAAAAGCTTTTATTACAGTATATTTGTTGTGTCCTGTAATTTTGCCAAACACTGTATAAATAGTATATTAATAGAACACAGTGCTTAACTAAACCACATTCATTTTAATTTCATTTGTATATTTTTGTCACTAAAGCTAAAGGCTGGAGAAAAAACATTGTGAATGTACATAACTAACCTGTATTGAATAGTAAACAATCGCCAAATATGCAGTGATGCATCCTCCTAGGAAGAGGTCAAACGCAGCTGGTTTCACCCTGAAAAAAGAAAGCATCAGTTTCCTAACCTAAAATTTCCACACATTCAAAAAACTAATGGTTACACAGATGTTTACCTGTACATCACAATTGGTTGGTTCATTTGATCAAAAAATGTGACATCAGGGTCCCTGCATCAAGGAATAACATTAATTGTGATATTGTTGTGTTGCTACTGAGCCAGTGTGTGAATCAGAAAGACTGCTGCATGTTCCACCTCTTGTCCTGTCGAAAGGTGTGTCTGTGTACGTTGTGCAGGTAGTGCTTGAACTCGTGCTCCAGTGAGTTGACCAGCAGGATCTGAGCGGGCTCCTTGTGCAGCAGCTGGGCTGCCCGAGGCACTGAGGTCAAAAAGGACATCAAACTTGACATGCGACTGTCCTGAAAGTCCTGCATTGATGACACAGATGTGAATTCATAAAAGCTAATATAAAGATTAAAGTATAATCCTAAAAGGTGAAAATGCATCTCAGAGATTCAGTCAGGAGACATGTATTTACCATTAGACTCTTTATAAAGATGCATCTTAAAAGTATGTTTTCCTTTTGCATTTTAATGGCCATTGCATTGGCCTTACAGTGTGCTTAGAAAATGCAAACACTCTGTAAGGTCAATGCATGAACACCAGAGGGCAGCATATCGAGCAAAAAAAATAAATAAACCAAGGAACTCACCAACTGACCCTTAAAAAGTTGAACATCCTTTGGTGAACCCTTAAAGCAAAGTAATCACAAATTAAAATGGTTTTAAAACAGATTAAAATATGGATATTATATTTGACTTTACATAATCCATGTGTAATGTCTTTTACTGGCTTTTAGTCACCTTATCTGAAAGATTGTACATATACCGGGCCAGCGCTTCTGCTATGATGATGCCGTTTCGCTTAAGTTTTCTAAAATCCACTTGGGACCTTAAAGATGGTTTGCAGATGACAGAATTTTAATTTTTACAAGTATTTTTCAAAGGTTTGTATGATAATTTATAATTTTTATGTGGATAAAAAATGACATAGGCTGACACAAATAAAATATTTGTTGTTTTCTTGTTTTCACAAAATCAAACTACTGTCTAAATAATTAAATCTGAGCATACAATGTGTCCAGTATAGAGCCACGAAGCCCAGATTTAGGGTCTTCAACATGGGACAGAGTGAAGCCCAGGATCCTCCGTAGGCTGTAGCGTTCGTGCTCCCAGGGCACTGTTGATTCCACGAGATTGATCTTCTTGTGAACCAGTCCCACCTTCACCCAGGGAAATCTTGACGACACCACCTAAGGGGTAAACACAAGATAAAACCACTCAAAACCATTACTACCATCGAGACACATTTATGTGTCTCCCTCATCATAGTCGTACCTCCTCCAGCTGCTGAACAAAAGAGTTCAGAGGAGAATCAGGCTTCGGAGGGCGAGACGTGTGCAAGTACAGTTCATCACCTTTGCCAAGCGTGTCCAAACACATGACAAAAGCCACATTGTCATGGAGCAGGCTCGACTCTAAGGCAGAGGTGTTTGCTTTATCAAAAACCTTAAAGTAGAGATTCTTTTTATTTTGCTCATACCAATGCTTTTCTATCTCTCAATCTGTATGATCAAAGAGTCAAAGAGTTGGAATCTTACCTGCATGATCAAGATTCTCCTCAATCCATCTCTTTGTGCCAAGGAAGTTGTATTTTCCTCCTCCGGTCAAGGAAAACATTAGATTATATCTAAAGCATGAAAAGAATTCTCCTTAGTTGTGCACAACAAGGTTTCATTAAGCACTGCTAAATAATAAATCTAGCTGTGCTTAGATATCCTCAATTGGTGACAGTGCATCTTAAATAAGGCCATCTCAGTAAATGAGAATACCTAAATATGCATCACAATATTGAATCTTTTACCCTACTTAACAATTATGCATATTCTATTTTAATGTATTACAGAAAAACTGAGGAAGACACTATAAAGTTTGCTTTGTATTGATGTATTGTATTGAAGGCTGTGAATTAATTGAACAAATCAGTAAAGGCCCTATTAAAACACTTGTTTTTAATATTCCAAGTTGACAGTTTTGCACTTTCAGCTGCTCGATTGTAACTCCTGGATACATAGGAACTCACTGTGGTCTGGTGCTGGAACTACTGTAGAGTTTCTGAAAGAGACGAGCTAGTTCCAGCAGAATGGTGACTCCACTTCCATTAGAGTCTGCTCCGTATGACAACCACTGTTTTATACAAACACGTCCATGCATTAGTGGCAGGTTGAACCGAAACACTAAAGGTTTTAGCAGGCTGAACCAAGGTTGTAACCATTTCACAGGTTAAGCCTTTAGATTTGTAAATGGAGTGGTTTAATAGCTAACCCACCGGAGCAAGACCATATGAGTCATAGTGGGCGGTGATGACAATAGTGGGAGCGTCCTCTCCTTTTCCAGGCAGCATGCCCTAAAGTGCAGATGAGCATGGTGCAGAACTTTAGAGAGACTCTGTTGGGAATGTAGTATGTCGTTTTTGTGCTGTAACAACCTGTTTCTTACCTCCAGTGTGACTACTGTGTTGTCAGAGATGGCCTTAATGGCATTGTTGTTGCTCACAAAGATCTGAAAAGCCGTAGCTGTGACCATACTTCGGAGGACTGCCAACAGTAAAAGGATTTTTTTCATTTAGTTTTGTTATGGTTGCCTCATTTCTGTTTTTTTAAAGTTTTACATCAATTTCATTAAATTACTGTGGCATGCATCAGTACATGTACAGTATGTTGTCTGTGTTACCTCTGACAAATATGGATGAGGTCCGTGAGGCTGCAGCCTGCTTCACCTCCTCATACATGTAAAGTAACTGTTCATCCTCAGGAACAACATAGACTGGAGTTAGCGTCTCCTTCTGCAAGGCCTCGTTCTCACTCACCATAAAGGACTAAGAGAAAAATAAAAGAAAGAATTTGAATCAATATGTTAGAGAATTTTCTAACATTTTGTTTTTGGGTAAAATAAAAATAAAAAAATTCACCTTTACTGTCTCATGTGGAATGCTGGAGATATTTCTTGGCAATAATATCAGGATGGCAGCAGCATTCTGTCTTAGTGCCTCAAAGTATTTCTCCACAGTAAAGTCTTGAACCTTCATGATGACACAACGACGGGTCAGTGATGGTTCATCAGCAGAGCGGGCCTCCGCCACAACTATGGCTTCACGGCAGCCTCACACAACAGGATAAAGAAAGTCAAATTACCAAATACATTCCCTTAAAAGCTTTTTTGTTGTCTTTTTTTTTTTTTTTTTTGGCATTTTTGTTGCAGCTCCATCTAGCCTAGTTTGATAAAGCTACTGTAAAATCATAACAATCTAATAAGGTCCAGTCTGTCTTATTACCTTGCAGCTAAATATGATAAATATTTTGTGTTTATCATATTAATATTTAATTATAAAATATAAAACTTTGCATGTATGTCAATGACAATGGAGGGGAACTTCCTCAATCTTCTCAGACCTCAAGTACAACACACCCTGGACCGCCTGCAATTTGCATATCAGCCAGGTGTAGGAGTGGAGTACTCAATCCTCTACCTACTACACTGAGTCCACTCACACCTGAATAAGGGTGGTGCCACAGCAAGGATTCTCTTCCTGGTCTTCTCAAGTGGATTCAACAACATCCAGCCCTCCCTGCTCAGAGAGAAACTGAATATCATGGGAGTTTTTCCCGTGCCTGATGGCATGGATCTTAAACTAACTCGCAGGCAGACCATAGTATGTCAGGCTGATAGAAAGCACTGTAGCCCTCCTGGGCACAGTGCTGGTCACTGTTCTCTTCACCTTATACACCCCGGACTGGCTGGCTGGCTGGCTGTTGGTGCTTGGACCATATGCTAAATACCAGATCAACTTGCTTTTCATGGCTATCATCTTAAAAGAAAATCTAATCTAAAGATGGCATGTATTTTTATCTTAGGAAGACTCATAGACACCGACTAAGGACATGGATTACTGGAATCACCGGACTAAACTCAACTTATTTGGTGTGTGTGGTGGCAACCAGTGGTGGAATACAAGGTTTGGGGCCTAACAAGTGCTGCCGGCTCTGGGGAGCTACAGCTCATTGAAGGCGGATGAATAGAGGATGCACTGTTACTGTACATACTGGAGCAGAGCATGATTCAATTCAAATTCCAAAAATACTTTATCAATACCAAAGGGAGATTAAATGTTGTTGTAATTTATAGGATTTTTGTTTTGGTTTTTTGGTTTTTCATTGAGTTGTTGTTGGTGTTGATACCTATAGGCAGAAAGGATCTCCTGTATCGGTTGAATAAGGTTGAATGTCAGGGCAACAGGTCTATAGTCACTGAAGACTTTTGGCTTAGTCTTTTTTTGGCACTGGAAAAAGGCGGGAGGTCTCCCACATCATTGTAACTGTCTACAGGGTCAGACTAAGGTTGAAGAGGTGCTTTAGAATCCCACAGAGCTGCTCTGCATGGATCTTTGGGTCTCTGGGGCTGAAACCACCAGGACCTTGTGACTTATTACGATTCAGTCTCTACTGTTGCCTCTTCGCTCAAGATAGACAGGTTAAAATCTTATTTGGCTGACAACAAACTCATATAAGCAGGAGAGTCAATGGCAGAGGAGGGTAGGGTATCCATGTGACTGTGGGCAGGAGATGAAGATGCTGTTGTTCTTCCTGAATAGAATCTGTTGAAGAATGTATTCAGCTCATTGGTTCTGTCCAGACTGCTGCTTGAAGCCTGTGATCTTCTTCATCCCTGACCACACATCTCTAAAATTGTTCTGCGCTTCTTTTCCAGCCTTTTCCTGTATGCCTCCTTGCTCTCTCTCCTCTTGACCGTAAGTTTCTTCTGTATACTCCTCATTACTACCCTGTAATAATTCTTAAAGGCTAGTTTTTTCTTGTTAAGTAGTTTCTTCAGATCACTTGTGATCCATGGTGTTTTATTTGAGAAGCATTTCACTGTTCTGGTAGGGATGATGTTATCTACCCAGAAGTTTATGCAGTCAGTCACACAATCATTGCATTGATGTCCTTTCCATGTGGATGACACAGTGCATCCCAGTCTGTAGCCTCAAGACAATCTTGCAGAACTTCCTCAGCTTCCTTTTACCATCTTCTTACAGTTCTTTTTAATGCAGGTTGTCTCTTATAAAGTGGATTATAATCTGAGCAGAGAAAATTAAGATTTTGATCTGATTTCCCAAGAGGAGGTCTTACTTTAGAGATGTAAGAGTCATTAAAATGGTCATAAAACAGGTCTAAAGTTTTCTGTTGTCAGTTGTACAACAGTTGGAACAATGTCAGTGTAGCAGAGAATGAGTCATGATTGAAATCACCAGTTATTGCCCCAAATGCAATTGGCTTTTGTGTTTGTAGCTTGGGACTGCTCATTGCAGCAAGAAGGTTCCAGGTTCGATTCCTGGTCCGGGATCCTTCGGCATGGAGTTTGCATGTTCTCCCTGAGCATACGTGGGTTCTCTCAGGGTACTCCGGCTTCCTCCCACAGTCCGAAAACATGACTGTTAGGTTAATTGGCTTCTCTAAATTCTCCATAGGTATGAGTGTGGGCTTAAATTGTTGTTTGTCCTGTTTGTCTCTGTGTTGCCCTGTAATGGACTGGAGACCTGTCCAGGGTGTACCCCGCCTCTCGCCTATAGATAGCTGGAGATAGGCACCAGCACCCCTCGCGACCCCGCTTGGGATAAGCGTGATGGAAAATGGATGGATGGATGGATACATTTTGGATATTTGCATGGATATTTGTAGCTTAGCAACAACAGAACTATTGCCCAAAGAGCCGAAAACCGAAAACCAACTGCCAACAGTTTAATATTTTTGACTGCAATAATAGATATTTACAATAACCTATCCTGGATGACACCATTTGTTGTTTAAAAACACTGCCAACCCACCTAATTTTAAATTTCCTCTGTTCTTTAAATCTGCTCTGTCTGTCGTTTGGTCAGAAATCCTGGCAGAGAGATACTGGAGTTTAAGATATGATCCTGTAGCCATGTTATAGTTAAACAAATAATGCTGCACTACCGATTTTCTGGTTGGGTTCACGCTAGGACTGGGAGTTCTTCTAACTTGTTTCCTAAAGATCTGTTATTGCGCATGATGATTGATGGAAGAGATTAGAAATACATTTCTTGTTCCTCTTTTGTCTCCTATCTCGTACTCTGCATTCCTGGCAACTCCTTTTCAACTCAGCAGGTATATGTAAAAGTAGTTGTATAATTTCAGCTTTAGAGATGTTATATAGCTGCTCCCTGGTGTAAAAAAGAAATAAACTTGCCATAATCGCTGTGGTTACGCGTAATAACAAATATCCAAAAAGGGAAAATTATCATTAGAAATCCTTCCAGTTCTACAGCATTCAAGGCAAGCAGAAAAAATATCAGAAAAAAGAAACACTGATCCACTAAAGGAGAAACTAAAGTTCTTGTAAAAAAAAATATCTCAGAGTCAAGCTAGCAGTGCAACTCACAGCCGCCTTAAGCAACACAATTCTAAAAATTTGAAATTAAATCATTATTACGACCCAAAACACACCTGCAAGATGGCTACTTTGTTAATTTGCCGCTGGATGTTAATATAAAACTAGTATAAATATGATGATAACTACAGATGTTTTTTAATATCAGCAATCCAACCTGAGTGGGACAGATCGCACTGGATCAAAAATAATAAATTCTCTAAATCTGAATAGTGTAAAAACCCTCTTTCAGACAAACAAGGAGAAAAAAATATAATTGCTCAGAATTTTTAAAGAAAGTATTTCATTTTGGCTTTGTTTGTAAAAACATGTGACTCAGGCTGCCATGTGTTGAATGCAGTAATTCAATTGAAAATAAAAAAATAACTATGTTGTTTTCCCCTACGATAAAACCTCTTTGAAATAATAAATATGCACACATATGTCATTTAAAAACAAGTCAAAAATACATGATCTGACTGAAAGCTGAAACGGAACCAAATCCTCAACAAAACATCTCAGAAAATCTTGGTGATGGCAGCATCATCCTGTGGGGATGCTCTTTCTCAGCAGGAAAAGAAGTTTATCCTAGTTTCATGTAAGCTAGAATGTATTGATACTTTAGGTTCCTTTTGTTTGCTTTGTATGCTCAGCTTGCTCTTACCATGTTTCTGCTGTGCAAAGTTGTACTGCTGCATCCTGAAGGCGGTGAACTCATAGGACGACACGGCAGGAAGGGCAGAGCCATGAAGGCGCTGCACATAGAGCACCAGCAAAACAACAGCGCTGCCCAACAACATCATGCCTTACCTAACTGGGATGGTTGTCTGCAACGGTTGGTTAATGACAACATTTACACAATGATAGACCACAGATAATAAATATGTTTAAATGTTTGTGTTGATTAGTAGAGGTCTTGTCTAAAACCGATATAGATATACCTTTACAGGTGCATCATCTATTTAGTAAACTGCATGTTCTACCTGAATAAACTGAAGAGCATTGCTTACCTTACTCCTTACAATGAGCTTTCATGAGCTGTGCTTCTCAGACCGCTTTAAAGCTACAATGTGGCTACAGACTCTGGTTAACTCCTTGGATTCAGGGTATGTAGGTAAGCCACCATTCACCATCTGCTCCCTGGGGATCAACTCCAGGCTAATCATACGTGCCCAACCCCCAGTGTCATTAACTCAATACAATACTAGTTAGACGTGTACATATATTCACCATCTGTTCAAATGTTAAAAAAATAAAAATCATTAGAACTGTCTTAGTATTTCATGTGATTATCATCACTATTTTTTAAGTGCTTTGCCTGCCATCAAGTTAAGAGAAAATAAAAAAAACTGTAGATTCTGAGAGGTTCTAGAGGATGTGGAAGTGTTAAAACTGACCTTCTGTGGAATTGGTAATTGAAATGAATAAAGTAACTTTAGCAAAAATAAATGCAAATTGCATATTTTCATTTAAGGAATTCCAAATTAATATTTAAGATAACAGAAAGCAGATGCATGATTTTTGGAAAAATCAAGCATTTTCTTACTAAAAATACATTTTTAACCAGACTTGGAACTTTCCAAAATTACTTCTGAATTACTTCACTTCCAAACGATAGAGCAGATTTAAAGATAAGTGGAAATTTCAAATTAGGTGGGCTGCCATTTTGCAGGATGATCTTAAGCTTTATCTGCAGTTTGTTAAGGAACATGTATGTAAATCATAGTGGGGGCAGTTTCATGTAAATCAAGAATGTCAAAATATTGTCAGAGTTAAAGAAAATCAAGATTAAACTCCAAATCTTGTCCAAGTTTCTATCACCAACAGCATAAAATATGAGATGAAAACTTCAGTCGCCATCTTGTTTTTGTCAGACATTTGCCTGTCTTTCTATCCTGGGGAGAAAACCCTGAAAATGTCTTTGAGAGGAAAAATAACAATTGTATTTCACGTTTTGCAAAGACTCTGCAATACATGAAAAATTTGGAAAACACACGGGATATGGAGATATCCATTATTTATTGTCTGACATGTTGCACTATACACAGAACTGTAACACTGTTCAAATCTACATGGAGCCGGTTCACAATCGTCTTGACAAGCATCTGACAGATGAAAAGCGCCTGCTTCTATTGAAACTAACTCCAACCAGTCAAAGTAAAGGAAAAACACCCAGTTGCATGTAAGTAGCTTGTGTTACAACTCATCTATTAGACCTAAACAGGCAGTAAAGTACTGCGCTTAGCGGGAGACACCTATCAAATTATGCATGAAAATCCAGTGAAATAAAGATGTTGACAGAAAAGAAGAGTTGATAGAGCACCCCCCACCCACCCTTTTATTTGTAAAGAGCCCAAAAATACATTAATCTTTTATTGCAGAAGCATAGTTTTGAATTGGAAAAAAGAGCGTCATTGAGTAAAGTATTGAATTATGAGAAATAATTGAAGTATACTTTAAATTGGAGTGTCTTGAAACTTTTGTTAGTTTTCTTTACCTGCTCTTTAAATATCAAATATATTTACCTTTAAAATGTAATACAAACGAAAGTTTGCCATTTCAAAATAACAAATATGTGTTGATCATTAAAAGCAAATACATTTCTACAATAAAATAGCCTCTAGCTTACTTTTACCAGCAAACATTAAAAATGTTAAATTAATAAATAACCTGGAACTGATGCAAACAGGGCTGCTTGATGTTACAAATAATTAGTGATATACTACTATAAAAATTAGAGTTAATATTAATATCATCTAAATTTACAGATATATATATATATATATATATTGTGTGATTTTTTTTCTCCCTTTTTGACGAATACCACAAGGCAAACACCTGAAAATGAATCCTTAACGGGCTCTTGTAGATTTTGGAATTTATTCCTCTGCAATAAAAAAAAAAAAAAAATTATTTAAAAGCTTTCTACGCACTTTTTCCAGGGAGGGTGCTGTGGTCAAAGAAACGATCTGTCTCCCTCACTGCTTTTGTTATTTCTAGCTAACAATCCTAAAACTAATCTCTATCTGTAACATCCTGAGAAAACAAAACACAAAAAAACATTGGCATGGTTTATGTAAACTAAGATCAACAGGAGGAAAAAGTTACATAAAAAAAAAAAACATTTGATCTATTTTACATTATACACATACAGTACCATAACTTAAAGTGTTTAGATATGTACAGTACACACAATCTCCTTTCAGTGAGTCAGTGACTTTAGTTCTGCTTTTGTTTCCAACAATCTTCCTTTACACAGATTTTCTGAATTAGTGTAAAACTCTGGAAAAAAAACAAAAAAAAAAAACAAAACTTGGAACAGCAATAGAATATACAGTTTTAAACTTTCAGAAGTTTAAAAAAACAGAAAAATTTGCTTTGATTCCAATGTCTACAATCTCTTCCTTTAGTTTACTTTCCATCTACATGTTTGGATCCTATAGGGTAAATTCTGCAGGGTGCCTTGACAGATGGTACAGAGAACTGTGGAGGTCAGTAAGATTCAAACAAATAAAATCATTTTTAATGACATGAAGGACTGCTTATTGAGATTCACAACCAATAGGAGAGAATGTAGGACAAACACACAGCTCTTCTAGTGCTAAATGTATAACGTTTTTCCAGAAAATGCACCTTACACAATTATTGGCATCCCTAGTTAAAATATGTATAAAAGTCATGAAATATATTTTTTTTTGTCTGTTACTCTAAGATAACCTTTTTTCTACGGTCAGCGTTGCCCTTTAAAAATGTAAAATTTTCTATCCAGTATCTTTAGTCTTACCACTAATGCCACTGTGGAATTTCAGGTTTTCTTGAGTTGCTCAATTTGAAGAACGATTAGTAGGAACAGGCCTGCGTCATATTTATGCTCAAGGGGAAACATGAAGCCAAGTTTCAAATGAAAACTTCCTTGATAGAATTTGATCACAGGAATACAGAAAAACAAAGGAAGCAGCTGTTTACTTTAGAGGTTTCTTGTTTTTTGTGTGTTGTTTGAGGAGTAATTAAGACACACAGGACTCATTACTTCCATAAAGTCCTGGGTTTTCATACTCGCTTTCCAGTCTTTCTGTAGGAGTTTTTTGATCTCTCTGTGCATGCTTGGGTTCCCACCGGGGTACTCAAACATCCAACAGCATGCTTGTGAAGGAAGGTAGTCTCTCCATACTGTACACTGAGTATGATTTGTTCATGCACGGCTCCTGCTTAATAGCTTCTAGAGATAAACAAATGGATCAGTTGTGATTTCATTTGATAGACAATCTTTTTTTTTTTTTTTTACATCTTTATCAGGAGGATTAATTATAACTATGGGGCATCAGCTCAAGAACATTCCTTGTATCAAAACTAAGACATTTCTAAGCTTTACCTTCACTAATTTGCCTTATTTTATAGGTTCTACAATAAAAACGTTGATGTTTCATGAATAACTACACAATGTGCAGTGACTCAGCAGCTCATTATGTTTTTTTCCCCCTCTACGTGTATTAAAATGGCAGTAGGTGAACCTAAATATGACCGATGTTCCATTTTACAAAGTACGGCATCTTTCTTTAGTATGGGGGGTTGGCTGTAGGTCAGTAGGATAAAAATAAATATCGGCACATCTGTCATCTGGACACAGTGTTAACAGGCAACATGCATTTTTTTAGCTTCTTATAACTAAACATAAAACAAATATAACCAGGATAATCTCAGTATAACACAGATTGGCGCTTGATGTGAAGAGGGTGACCAGTCGTGTTTCATTCGCACTGTTTTCCTGGCATGGCCGGACTCACTCACATTGTTTTGGAGTCTGATGCTGATATCAAGAGGGAAGACGAAGCAGAGCAGCTGAAAGAATTCAGGGAATTGGAAATAAAATGGCCTTGTTCAAACTACAGTCCATTATAATGGATGGTAAATTATACCCCAGGAGACAAAGTGGGGTGCTTGGACAGCCCACTGACACAGTAATGATGACAAAAAGTCATTTGGCTGAAACTTTCTCCTCCATTCAGGTCGTTTCTCCTCTTTTGCGACATTGCACAAACCGTTTATGCAAAACAAAAACTCCCTAAGCATAAACTCAAACGGAGAAGCAAAAGCAGCGCTGTTTTCTTCGAGGTAAGGTCTCTGACACACGTTGAATCCATCCGTGCTGAACCAACACTGCAGACGTAAGACACAGATCCTGCCATAGGAGGAACATGCACAGGTGCTGCACATATTCAGTTTCTCATCCTCTTTTGCCTGTTTTCAAGTTGATCTTTATTTTCTCCTCGATGCCATTCTGTTCAGCAGCTGGCAAAAAGAAACTTCTGGGGATGAAGGAGGAGCGGGGTAGCTACTGGATCTGACAGGCAGTGGAGGAAGCAGCCTGACAGCACATGCAGGTGGGGTTGACTGCTTTGGGGGGGATCAGATCCAGGTCCTCGTCGTCTGGTATCTCGTCAAGCCGGTACCCGTCCTTCAGGAGCTGGATGTTCAAATCCTGGTTAATTTGCTGCAAGGAATGGCAGATAAATAATAATCATACCGGCTGGTTTTATCAAATGCACTATCTAGTAACTTTATTAACTACTTACTCTGCTGACCCTACAACAGAAATTTTAATAAGCAGCAAACAAATCAAAATCAGGATCAATCAAAAACAATAGCAAAATATATACTATTGCATTTAGAAATGGGGTAATGAGCAATGGCGAAGTTTACACAACATTTAAATTGACCAAAAGCTTTTCTGATTAGAAAGCCTCCTAATGGCTGAGCATAATAATATTATGCTCCCATTTCATTTCTATTTTCATCACTTTAGCAATGTGAGTAATGTCTTTTCTGTGCGTTGTGAACATTTGCTGCCTTGAGACTAAACATAAGCTTATCATGTATATTGTAATATACCTACCACATATCTAAGAAAATACACACAAAATAGAAAAAAAAATTATACTGCAAAATAAAAGGAAATTCTACAAATTTTGTTCACTAATACCAACCACCTCATTTTTATGATGCTCAAATAGTTTAATTCTAAAAAAAATATATACCGTATATATTTTACAATTTTTACTTTTTATTGCCATTCAGACTTTCTTTGTTGATAAGCTGAAACAAATTAAAGGTATGTATGCGCCTTCACCCTACTTTTCATGTGAATAAGTCAACAAAAAGTTGAATCTTTTAATTTCTAAGAGACAAAAACAGTTTTTTTGTGTTTTTCTATGCAAGAGAAACAGGTTCTGCTTCAACCTACCACTTTCTGATCTCTGGATTTATGTTCAATCAATAGATATTTCCTATCTAAGGCAAATTAATGTAGCAAATTACGTGGAATAAAAGCAGTGACATTGGGTCAAACAATCACGGTGATGAGTGGAAACTAAAGGCTAAAACCAGAATATGTGCTACGTGAAGGAAACAAATGAATGATTTAAAGGGATGACAACCATGGACAAGTAGAGACGGTTGAGTGAATAAGCGCACATCGACCTGGTGTGACAGAGGAGGAAGAAGGTGATCACATGGCGATGGTTGTGGTTTTGCCAGAAGGCTCTGTGAAACAAAATAATATTTGTATAAATACCTGGTCCCTCAGACATCTCACCTCGGCTGAGGAGTATCCTGATGAAGAGTATCTGGACATGTCGAAGTCATCGTCACTGAAAGACAGGAAACACCTGGAGTTAGACTAAAGACAAATAAAGATACCTTAAGAGGAATTATTACATGACAAAAATAGTATTTTTCTACTAAGGTGGTGTTCTTAGGAGAGTAAAAATAAACTCCAGAAATAAACATTTGATGCTTCTTACAACCGCAAATCTGTTAATGATCTTTCAATCACTGTCACGGTTACTGCAGCAGTAGGTAGACCAGAAAAAGGTTCCTGTTGACCTCACAGCTTCATAACAACAGAAGCAACTAGAAATTGCAGACGCATCAGATAACAATGCAGATGCACACATTTGAGTTGGTGCAGAAATAAATGAATTAAAAGAGCCCAAAGTTTGGGGCGGAGGGCTGTTCACCTCGACAAGCCTGTTCCATCCTTGGGTGAAGGTGCCTCAAGCAGCATGAGTGGAAAAGTAGAGGGGTTTTCTTTCCCAGTGATTTACACATTTTGGTGCAAGATTATGTTCAAGTCCAGAATAAATACAAAATATGTTGTTAAGATGGTGTATACAGCTGATAAACGGGTGATCATTGTGGATATTTAAGGGAGTTCCAGTGCTACATGCACTGAACAGCCATTCAGCAAGGAAGAAGGCATTACTTTGGGAACACATAATGAAACTAGATGAGATTTTAACAGTGCACAAAACAAAATTTTGGAAGCATGTCCTGTAGAACGATGTAGCTAAAATTGAAAAGTTAAGGCTGATTTATACTCAGAAAGCAGGTCGTCTGTGTGTGTGTCGCAGTAAACGAAGATATGCCCCGCCCCTGCCGCAGACTGCTGCACCTCTCCGAAATTGTAGGTGACCGCAGACAGGAGGCATCTGATTGGTCAAATCTACATTCGCTCTTCTCTATGCGTATTTCCTGTTTGGTACCTTACCAGCTTGTTTTGTTTGTATGACCGCCATTGTGGAAAACGACTCATGAAGATGGACCAGCTAGAAGAGCGAGGTGCGCAAGAACGCTGGGACCCTTTTTTCCACCTGGATCCCCGCTCTTTTTCCCCCTCATGTCCCTCAGTTGTCGCACGAACTTGCCTCTCGCGTTTTTCCACTTCCTCACAGCTAGATTGTGATTGTCCCTCTTGCGTTGTGGCGTGGAATAACATAGCCCAGACCACGCTTCACACTGGGCATAAAACAAACGACACACTGCTGTGGGAGTATAACCAGCCCTTAAGTCCGTAACGATCTTTGTTTAGTTAAACAGAAAAAAAATCGGAAATAAGTACAAAAAAATATCATCATGAGGAAAGAACACCTTGTATAAAAAGGTTGAAGCAACATCTGAAAACATCGACCAGGCTCCTAATGACAAACTTGATTTAGAAAATACTTGATGATTTGGAGTGGACATCAAAAGTCGAGATCTGTATGTGTATTATGAATGACAAACAACATGACTCTGTTACACCTGTTACTGAGTTCCCCTGAGATGTCACATATGCGATTTTACTCACTAACCGGCATGATGGCAGACAATCACTTAAAAAAAGGTGGAGTACAACAAAAAAAATGCAGATGGTTCAGCAAATGGCAGTTTTCACTGCATCTCTGACAATCAGACAACAGGAAGGACCAGAAACGGAAGAATGGAGTGATGAACGGCAGCCAGTCCTGGTCGTTAGTGTTGGTAATGTCGTCCGTCTCTGCAGGTTATGAGGAGCATGTTGTTGTAATTACTTCCTCTGCCAGTCACCAGAGCTTCCTTATTCACATGAAAGTCCTGGCATCTTTTACAAAGCTGTTAAAACACTGATTATAGGTATCCTTTGATTTCAGACTGGGACGCCCCTCTACTGTGTCTCAGCGTTGTTCACTAAATAATTACCTGGTTCATAAGATATTGGAGGCAGTTTGTCTGCCACATTTTTCTGTTCCCACATTTCAACATTTTTATTAATTTTACAAATCAATCCTAACAGCAGATGTAGATAGTTTTTTGTTTTTTTATGTATGTTTTTTTGCAAACTTATGAGCAAGTTTTCCATCAGGAAGCCATGAGGAACGTAGTTGCCCAGTGCTGCATTGTTGCCCACCAATATGCCACATGGCACACTTCCATTTTAGAAGTGTGAATACTATGCATCAGAATACATTTCTGCAATCTAGGGCTGCAGGTTTTGTCACTATTTTTTATAGTGACAAATAGAGATAATCTGTAAGAGGTTAGAAAAAAAACTGACCATCAAACCATCAGTTTCATTGGTGGGAAAAGCGCAACTCTGTCAAAATAGCACATTTTCATAGCGCTAACTTGAGGTCCTCAGAAAGATGAGCTTCAACATTAATGCTCAAATAAACGAGTAAATATGTTTAAAAACAAAGTTTCTGCAGCCGTTGTGCTGTTTACATTCAGAAAAGGGGCCAAATTTCAGCTCTCTTTGACAATATTCAGCAAAACGAGCCACTGTAGTGAAATGTGTGGATGAGAACTTTGGCATGCTTGCTAAATGCCTTCAACTATGCATAAGCCTTTCTTTTTCTTTAGCAGTATTGGAAAGGGATCTGTCTAAAAGTTGCAGGATTGTCATTTTCTTAGCCTGTACTTTAGCACTCCTGTTATGCAACATAGATCCTTACCTAAAATCAGGTATTTCCTAAAGGCTGCTCGGATTTTCAATTTCAGATTATTTTAATGCAAAATTAAATTGAGTGTTAAAAAAAAAATGAAACAGACCAACCACCCTTCTTGTTATCCTCTTAAAATCCCGCTCTCTGTCCTCAAAAGCCTGAATTAAAAACGTGTCTCAGAGAATATAGTCTCTTTCTCTGCCTGTACTTCTGAAAATCAACTAGTACCATTTACGTGAGACTCTGAGGGGGTAATTGGAGTAGTTTCAGTAACTTGGTAGTGTTTACATATGATGTCTTCACTGACTGGAAAAGACTGATATTTTGCCACCAGCTTATAATCAATTACTATAAATCAAAGTGACAATCTTCAGATTCCGGTAAACTGGTCATTTCTTTGTGTTTTTCTGAGGCAAACACATTTTGGTGAGGCAAATAGATCCCAATTTAGAGATAGAAGCAAAATAATACCAGAAAGAAACAATTAAATGTAAAACATCAGCTCAACATGCAGATATAAAATGAGGGAACAATCCTAAAAGATAGAGAAATGCAAAAATAAAGGAAAAACAAAGCCGCTGAAGCTGCTTTTGTCAGAGTACGTCCGAATTGGTCTTTTTTTTTTCTCCATTAACAACAAATATGTCTACGCATGTATTTGTAAAATGGTAATAAAGTGGGTTGAGTTGTGAGTGAGGGTCCACAAATGATTGGACTTATCTGGCAAAAACACAGATCTAATGGTACAAGGGGAGAAGAAAGAGCGCTTATTGAGCTGCTTTTAGCATCCAAACCCTCACACAGCTGCTCTGAGAGAAGGCTAGCCCACTACTTTTAGGATCATATGTATTAAGCTCGCTGTTAAGCTGCTCCATGGATTAATACACAAACAAAGAGAGATATCTGCAACAACTCGCTGGTGTCTCCTTTGAGGTATCAACCAATACATTATAACGTGATTTGTCTGGCTGTGTAGGATAATGTAGAGAGTTTACCTGTCAGTGTCCAGTGCAACCAGCGGCTTCTCATCCGGGCTCTGGTCTAAAGAGGAGTAACCTTTGTTTGGCACCACCAACCTTGAAAAGAGCAGAGCAATGTCCTTCATCAGAAGCCAAGATTTGAAAACACAGAGAAACCACTGTGAGCTCTGTAAAGAATTACAACGTCACAGAACTAAAAGAAAGCAGCTCTATTTGTGTATGAGATTATGTTTTCCTAATATTAATTGGTAGCATTCAGGCTGCAGAAAGTGCAAAATTATCATTCAGAGTCAGACATTCTTGGTTCAGACCATTGGGCAGCATTTCTTATTTCCCCACTAATCCCCAAGAGAGAAGGATTAAGTACATGAGCCACTTGTCAAGCCCGCAGGATGTGCTGGGGTTATGCTTGGTGGGTTTGCCTCCTTCATCATTCTCACAATACATGGCTTTTCTTTTTCAAAGCCTTGCAGGGTCCTGATTGCATTGGTTGTAGTGCTGTTTTCATCAACGATGATGAAATGATTTCGTCCACACTCCTTTTTCCATGACGATAATCAGAACTGATGAGCTAAACTTGGATCTTTGATGACGAGAACACAAGGAGTCATGGGTGTGAGTTTTCGTTGACGGGACTGGATAAAAACGTTAGCAGGTTGTCTGTCAGACGTTTAAAATGCATCATCGTGCTGTAATCTGCTAAGCAGTATCAGCCGTGCTGCTGCGTTTTGTTTGGTCATGCCGCCCACCTGGTCTGGAGCGGTTCACATTCTGAATGACCACAGATGGATCATGGCAGCAGCGGCAGGGGAGAAAATAACCTGGAATGGTCCGGTACTGCAGGCTGAACTCTCTGACAAACTGCGATTCCAGCTAAGCTCGTGCAGAAATGCGTCTTTTCATGCGGCTAGCCCAGAGTCTGTGCTCCACGCTCCACACTGATGGTTTGCTCTCAGGAGTATGGCTCTTCCTGCCCTCGTTACTTAACTATATGTGGCTGACCATCCTCTGCTAAGTGTAAAAAATCCCTTTGTCTAACAACCAAGTTTTTCTTTCATCAAGTGCAAAATGATGCAAAACCTTTATTTTCTACCAGTAGGAATCCCTAAATTATATCTAAAACAAATACTTCATTGCATACCGTTTATTTTTTTATTAAGACCCAGATGAAACTGTACATAGAGTGTTAAATATTTCTCTCTCAAAGTTATTGCTTCTACGATTCAAATATGATGTAAATGTTTCCTTGTATTGTCATTAAAACATTTTCTCTGTTTCCTTGGAATATTTCAACATCTTTGTTCACATATTCTTGAAATTTTAAGTCTGGATTACCATGACATTACAAGGCAATTATGTAGGTTTTCCTATGAATAAATCTGCTTTGACACCTGAACAGCGGCAACCAAGGGCCAAATTCTTAGAAATAAAGCCGAAATTGCCAGAGTAGAAAGAAACATTTTTTGTTCTTTGCTTTTTTAGAGTGATGAAGATTTTATTGATATGTGTGTAATGCATAAATTATATTATATCAGGAAGTATGTCTGCTATTTTAACCAATATGGTGTGTTGAACTAGACCTACTATTTTCACAAATTTTGTGCGACACATCTGTCGAAAGTAGGGCATTAATTGATAAAAAAAAAAGTTTATTTGAATTCTATAAAATAAAGTTTCTGCCCAAATGCAATGATGAACTGCATGGCATCATTGTATCTCCAGCAACTGTATTATCTAGGCAAGAGCTGTCAGTCTGTGAAAGAATCTGGTTGTTATTAGAAATTAAAAAGGTTAGCTGTTTTATAAAGTGCAACATAAAACTGACTAAAACCTTTTTGAGTTTTAATCGACTAAAACTGGACTATAACTATCACATACAGTAATGACTAAAATGTGACTAAAACTAATAATAGTTTTCATCCTGAAGATGAAAACTGAGACTAAATCTAAGATGGCTGTCAATCTAATGGCTTACTAGAAGCAGCTAATGCCTACGAAGCAGGATGCACTGTTGTCAGTGATTTGCATTTCAGTTGGTTGCAGTATTTTGCACCCACTGCTCAGCATATGAATAAACTGGTGAAAGTTAGAGCAGAACAATAAGCAGGAGGAAGTTCCTACCTTGTCCTGGCGTTCTTCTTGGGTTGCTGATTGACAGGACTTCCCACAGTGCCGTTCTTCACTGACGCCTTCCTGGCAAGGTCTCTCTGTTTCTCTGGGCAACAAAGGATGTGAATTTATCTGTAAATAAACCAGCTCAGCTCGACGCACTTTCTAGAATTTTATAGTTTGTGGTTAATTGTGCTTACATCTAAATGTGGAGTCTGAGATAAAGGGTCGCAGGTAATTTAAGCTTTAAATTGAGGCTGCTTTAAAATAATTTTTAATTTATCCAATAGACCATAGTTACCTTACAGTCATATGACGCATAACCTAAATGATTTAAAGTTACTGTTGTAACTCCAATAACTCTTGTATTGCATTAAATCATCTTGATTTTTAAAGTTTAAGTAAAGAACCAACATCTAACAGTGCTGTAGAAGTAAAGCTGAAGCTTTTTTTTTTTTAGATTTCTAAACCTGAACATACATTTTATTAGTGTATCTGTATATATACAATGCCTTGGAAGAGTATTCATACCATTTGGATTTTTCTATATTATCTTATATTAAAATTAAAAAAAATGTATTTTACGCTGATTTTATTGTGAAAGACCAAAGTGAAAGAGAAACAATGTGACATGGAATTAGTTACCTTCAAAAGCACCAACAAGGTGGGTAATCCTGTCTGTAATTTGATCCCAGCATAAATCCAGCTTTCCTATTCTTAGACAAAGCACTGGTCATCTACAAAGATAATGCAGTCCATGTAAACTGACAGGTCGGGCACGTGAAGGATGGATTTTTAAAATCTGCAAAGAGGACCGTGGTAACTCTGGAGGAGCTGCCGAGATCCCTAGATCACAGGGAGGATCTGTTGACATTAAAACTGTTTGCTTTTAAAAAGAAATGGCAGGAATGAAACCTTTGTTTAAGGAAAACCATAGGAAATCCCATTTGAGGCTTTCTGCAAGCCATTTGGGGAACAACAGTACAAGCTGTTTGACATTAGTTTGGCGTGGTCTGCTTTAAAGAGATAGCCCCTTTTTCCTTGCACTTATAACAAGGCAATAAAAAATACATTCGAGCCCATTTCTGATGGCTGCTCAATTCTTTATAAATGCCATTTCAGTGTCAGAAACACTGTTACACCTCTGCAAAAAAGATTAACTAATATTATCCAACAAATATCACCTGACTCTAATGCTCTCTTCACTTCTGCTGATCCTGCTTTGAGCAGTAATGCAACCCTGGATGCTGTGCTGGTCCATTACTATTCTTTGGCACATAACTCATTGGTTTGTTAAGTGCCATCCATTCACTGCAGCTACTTATTTATGACCCTGTGATATTAAGTGCAGAGTAATTTCATCAGATGATTTGAGGGAGTCAGTGAGTGACAATACCTATCTGGACCTGCAGTGGGGAGGGCTTGTAGTTCATGGCCACATTCTCTCCTTTAGGGTCAGATGCTGCCTCTAAAGTGGACGATGCTGCTGGGTCCTAGAACAGCACAAAAACAATGCAAGTTAGCTATGAACATGGAGACCTTTGAAACAGGTAGAGTATCCTCAATACAATAGCAAAGTACCATTTTCCCTTTGGGTATAGTTTTGGTAAATTTTGAAAATAAAAAAAACAGAAATCTCTTTAGACTCTATTTTCCCAGTGCTTTGGTCAATACCTGAGGTAGAACTTTTTAACTCCGCCCAAGATTGTATTTTTGTTCGGTTTATTTTAAACTGGTATAAATATGCATTTATTCAAAAATATTATGGAGCCAGCAATCTTACTAAAGTGGCAGTTGTACCTTTGCTTACAGCGGCTCCTTAATGGCACTGTTGTTTTCTTTAATACTGAAATACTCCAAGTAGTCATGAATTGTGTGAAGTGACATTGGTTATTGGTCATGTCCGAGCATTCAGTTCATCAGTGAAAATCTAAGCTAGACAAAGTCTATACAAACCTCCACAATATTTAAACAGGTTTTACATTGTTCTAACTGTCCCAGTCACATGGTTTTGAAGACATTTGGTGCATGGATAGGTTTTGAGTTAACAACTAATTTTTCACTGAAATCTGATTCATCACAAGCCTTAACAGCCAGGGCAAACAGCCTCCTTCAGGACCTGTTTGTGTCTCTACTTCAGCTTTGGCTGCAGCATCAATAGGCATGAGTGTTCCGTCTGCGCTGGTGGCTTGGTCTCTTTTGTGCATAAACGAGCGGTGATGACGTGTCGAGGCACCCATGTGAAGAAACAGAGGGGGCTGCTGTTGGAGCCATAGCTTCCCCAGACTGAGAAAGGAGGAGCGGAGCTTTCCTTGGCCTGCTTCATTCACAGAGAGCTGCATTATGGCAATTCCACAGGCATCTCCTTGTTCCACTCTGGGGAACTTCACATGAGTTCTGGCTGGTAGGCAGCTGAAAAAGGAAACCTATGATTTTGGATTTAGAAATTTAAAAAAATCTATACAAATCCTTGATATCGCTTGTTTAATTAAACACACCCAGCCTCTAACAGCCTCAATATTAAGTCAATAAACCATTCATTCAACTGGAAATGCTGCCCCAAATAAGGCTATTAGCAGAAAACAACAGAGGTTACTGAGCCTCATGAGGCTTGATGAAAAATTCATGAGACATTTAGCTGAAATTGTGAAGAGCTTATTCCATGTATGAATCTTAATGTTTAGATTAAAAAAAAAAAACACACATGGCAAAGAACATAAAACAGTTTTATGGCACATTAGAGTTTATATTTGCAGCATCAAAACAAAAGACTCGATCAGAGCACAAACAACATACGATAACAGGCGTCGTTTTGACATTAAACATAAATCTCTAATACAACATCCATATGTCCTGGTGACAGTTCTTTGGAGAGGTTAATTCTGTTGAATTAAAACTACTCTAAAATTAATCTCAATGATCAGCATAAAGTGATGCTAACTAGTGAAGTGGAAGTAAATTCATAGTGGGGTTTTAATCATGTTTAACACTACAATAACAGCTAAAAGGAGCAGGAGTCTGGTCAGCATTGCCTGCATAAAGTTTTTCTGGATGTTGGGACATGTTGGACTCTGGCAGGGCTCCCCTCTGTCACAGGTCCTGTTCATAACGTTTATGAACAAGCTTTCTAAGTAAAGCCAAGGTACGGATGGGGTTTTGGTTTAGGTAAGAGGATGTTTAGTCTTTACTTTTGTGAATGACGTAGTTCTGCTGGCCCCCTATGCCAAGAGTAAAGGCAAACACTTGGACGATTCTCAGCCAAGTGCAAAGCAACCAGGATAAGGATGAGTCCGAGTCCTCCAAGTCGGAGTCCATGGTTCTCTACTGGAAAAAGGGTGGTTTGACCACTTTTAGGTTAGAGCGAAGTTCCTGCCTCTAGTGGAGGAGTTTAAGTATCTTGGGTCTTGTTCATGTATGAGGAGAGAATGGAGCAGGACAGTGATGGATGGATCGGTGATGCTACTGCTGCAATGCAGAGGCTGTTCTGGTCCGTTTTGGTGACCTGAGCCAAAAGGTAAAGATCTTCGAATTACTGGTCTACCCTCACCTATGGGCATAAAATCTGGATCCTGAACCAAAGAATGAGATGCAAAAAAAACTAAATGAGCTTCCTCCTCAGGGTGCACTCCCATAAAGTTAGGGTGAGGAGCTTTGCTATTTGGGAGGGGTTAGGGGTAGAGCTGCTTCTCTTCCACATTGAGAGGAGTCAGCTGAGGTAGTGCCTCTTTGCTGAATGTCCCTAGACGCCTCCCTTACAAGTTGTGCCAGGCATGTCCCACTGGAGGAAGGCTGGGACTGGGTTTCTCAGCTTGCCCTGCAACACCTTTGCCTAGAGGAGCTGGAAGAGGTATCTCCAAAGAGAGTCGTTTAGGCACCTCTATTGATACTGCTGCCACTGCGACCTGGTCTTTTGCAGTACTTTCATCTCAAGATTGGCATTTCTGGCCATTTTAATAATATGAGAAACATTTTGAAATGTCACTGCAACTTTGTACATTAACTGACATTTTATCTCTGCATTTAACCCATCCCTTAGAGACCGGCGGGCTGCTCTAGTGCATTGCAGCATTCTGGGTTTTGTGGTCTGCTCAGGGTAGGAATCAGAGGGATTCAAATCAGGGAAGTTGCAGTCCTTCAAGAACACAAGCCCCATTGTGTAACCACAAGAGCACCACTCCTTTAATGAGTTTCCATGGACATTACGTGCTCCAGTCTTAACTGAATTACAGCTTGACGAGGTCACTGCAACACATGGATAATGTTTGTTTTGGTTTGAACCCTTCCATTTCTCAGGGTCATATCTTTCCTGCCTTTTCTCAGGTCTTCCCTGGCTCTATTAGGTTTTCTTCAAGTATGGCTCAGCATTTAAAAAATAATGGCATTGTTTCAGCAATGCCTTTCTTCATAAATACTAGATTTGTGGAGTGAATAGCAAAGTGTCCTGTCAACAGATCTTCCTCTTGAATTACTATGAGCCTCTTCTGGTTAGTGCTCTTCCTGCACATCTTGTTAAGGCTAAAACATACTCTGTAATGAACATAGACATTTCCTCTCTTTCTCATGGCTGCAAGAAAAACATTTTGTTCTTGCAGCCATAGGCTGATTTTTTGCTGCTTTTTTGGACATTATCTGGGCACAACTTTTTTTTTTTCTTTTTTCCCTGAATGATGGCTGCAGATTATGAAGTGGGTGCACTGCTGTGGGAGAGAGCTATAAAGATTTCCCATATGTTTTCCATTTTGGGGGCGTGATGAAATAGGCTATGCTCTGTCAGATGTTTAATGAAGGGATGCTCCAGCTTAAAACTTGTTTACAACTTTCAAAATCTTCATGATGGCAAATTGGAAAATTGTTGGGACAAGAGTTCAAAAGGTAATCAAAAAAACTAATGATGAAAGACAGAATTACACAATCTCTGCGGGAAAAACTATTTCTACTGCGCAACATGGCAATACAGGACTTGATTCAATGGGAGCTATGTACAAGAAAAGAAAAAAACAATTAAATGAAAAACACCTGATTTGTTTTAATGATAGCAGGGACAACATCTGCAAAGAAATCCTGTTATTTGTTAACCTTTTTTTGTTTACTTAAATAAAACCTCAGTTAGTAGAGCCACACCACATAGTCATTGGATGTGTCAATAGTGTAATACTCAAAATAAATAAAGATACTTACATGCAAAATAAATATTTTATTACTATTTAACTAATGAAATGAGATTGCTCCCTGAAAAAGAGACTAAAAAGGTAAACATTAATCTCCTAATCTTCAGAAGTTTTTGTGTCTGAAAAAAGTGAAAACATGTTGGGTAGGGCACAGCAGATCTTCAAACAAGGTGCAAAGTGATTTTGATGTGCAAACCAATTTTTGCGTGTGTACCTAATGTATTCTAATGACCAAACCACGCAAATTCATGGGTGGTGGACATGCTAATATAAATGTTGACCAGATTCAAAGCAATTTTTCAAATCAGAAACTCAACTGCAGCTTTTGTCTTTTTTTAGTACTTCTGAAAGTCCAGTGCAAAACTGACGCAATAATCTCTGCCGTTATTGATGCCACAAAGGTGGTATTGTAACAATGTCGGAGGGTGGTACTCTAGGAACATGTAAACAACTTTGAACTTTTAGAAAAAACAACAGTGGAGAGTCCCTGCCTCAAGCGGAGGAGTTCAAGTATATTGGGGTCTTGTTTACAAGTGAGGGATGGTTGGAGAGTGAGATCGATAGATGGGTGCAGAATTGGCGATGATGTGGTCACTGTATCCGACGGTCGTGGTGAAGAGGAAACTGAGTCAGGGGGGCAAAACTCTCGATTTACTGGTCGTTTACAAAACTACATTCCCATCCTCACCTGTGATCATGAGATCTCGGTAAAGAACAAAAGGACAAGATCGCGAATGCTAGCGGCCAAAATTAGTTTCATTTGCAGGGTGGCCGGGCACACTCTTCAAGATCGGAAAAGGAGCTCAGTTAGCTGGGAGGAGCCAGCTGAGGTGGCTCGGGCATCTGTTCCAGATGCCTCCTGGTCGCCTCCCTCGGGAGGTGTTCCAGGAATGTCCTATTTGGAGGAGGCCTCATGAAAGGCCCAGGACACGCTGGAGGGACTAGGTCTCTGAGCTGGCCTGGCGTCGCCTCAGGGTCCCCCCAGAGCAGCTGGAGGAGATGTGTGGATTGGAAAGTCTAGGCATGTCTGCTTAGACTGCTGCCTCCGTGACCAGGCCGCGGATAATGAATAAATGAATGATGGCAACAAAGAGACATGGGGTAGGGAGGTGATACTCCTTACAAAGGATGTTTTATTTCTCCTTAAATTCAACAGAGCACTTAACACTGGTATGTTTTAGGTATTTGCATCAGTTTTCTCACATTTTATGATTAATCTCTCTAATATATCTAACTTATGGTATTTTACTCATTTTATCTTTTACTTTTGTTCGTAGTACTTAGAGATCGGCTACCTATGTAAAGGGCTCCATAAATAATATTTA